ATATATATATATATATATATATATATATATATATATATATGGTTAATGGTTAATGGTTAAAAGCAAGATAAATGTGCTAGACATCTAAGGTCATGTAGCACTATAGTTAATGTTAGTGAAGGGTGGTTGAGTTAGTGATTAGTTGTCTAAGCTGGGCAAAGGAATTAGTGAGTGAAAGGGTTAAGGTCGGGTGTTATATTAGATAAAGGGTATGCATAAGAAAGGTTTCTTGAAGGCATACAATAGATGGGTTATAAGAGGAAAGGATATGATGGTCAGGTCTGTGGGAGCGGAAACCGCGAATATTCCAATGAAGGATAGTTATACTTTCGTTGATTTAGTGATATAGATTGTAGTACGTGTTGGAGAATTTGAAGGGGAAGCAGCTAGAGGGTGGGATAAGGACTGAGAGGTTTGAGATGGGAGAGGTGTGGGAGTTGGTGTTCTATCAGGAGGGGTAGTAGGAGATGGAGGGTCTGAGGAAGGGGATACTTGTGACATAAGGGATTCACGTGTGTATCCAGGAGGGAGTGGAAGGGATAGAGGGGATGGTGGGAAAGTTGATGTGGGCAGGGTTGGGGTCAGGGGGGATGGGCTGTGTTGGGAGGGGGTAGGAGGGTAGGGTGTAGGGGGGATATCGTTAGGAGGAGGATGGATATCAGCAATTACTTGGAGTGTGGAAGGAGCAGGAGTTGTAGGTTGAGTGTCGGTTTTCATTAAGTAATCTTGAATATTTTCAATAGTTTCTTCTGTGGAGTTGGTTGGGGAGTTTTGGGGGATAAAGGATTTCTTGTGAGGGGGGGAAGAGAGGATTGGTGTCTCAAGAGTACGGGCAAAGGATGATGGGGATGATGGGGGTGATTGTGTGGTAAGGGAAGAGGGGGTGGAACGTTTGTTCTGTCTGTTACGGGGAGTGCGAGGAGGGAGAGGGGAAGGTGTTGGGGTTGTAGTGGTGATTGGAGTATCTGTAGTAGAGATTGGAGTTTCTAGATTTAGGATGGCAAAAGAGTTTGACTGGGGAAGGTAGGTGGGGTTATTGGGGGGGTTAGATGTAGGAGGGGTGGGTTTAGGAGAAGTGTTAGAATGAGCAGTATTACTGGAGTAAGGAGTAAGAGAGAATCCACGTCGACGTGCTTCCTGTCTGGCTTCACGCAGTGTGAGTCCGAGTTTGAATCTGAGAGTTGCTACCTCAGATTCAAATTTGTAGGTGGGACATCCCCTATAAAATACATTATGGGGGCCGCCACAGTTGGCACATGTGCGTGATTGTGCAAAGCAGTTAGATCGGGTATGGCCAGGTTGGGCACATAATGGGCATCTGGCTGTGGAACGGCAGTGTTTGGCTGGGTGTCCTAGACGCCAACAATTTTGGCACTGACGTGGAGGAGGTTGGTATGGACGAACAGGGAGGGATTCTCCTTCTATGTAGACGTTAAAGGGAAGGTCATGTCTACGGAAGGTAATTTTGGCTATGTTAGTGGGTTTCTTTCGATGACCTCTGGGGGGGATGGAGTAGCATTGTACTGATGTTGCATCGTAGTCTGTGAGACAGGCAAGTAGATCTTCTCCACAATCTGACCAATCTTTGTCATAGATTGGGCAATTTGCTGGTGAGATTGAGACTGTTCCGGTGCAAGTATTGAGGGTTGGATGGGGTTCTGCTAGGATGGGGTTACCATATAGGTCAGTTAGTTTTGTTAATGCAATGGCTTGGTTTTCGGATGTTACTGTTACAAGACGGGAGCGGTCGGGTCGGCTACGGAAAGAGACTTTACCTACTTGTTTTTGGAGGCATTGTTGGAAGAGAAGGGTGTTGTCAGAGTAGGGAGCTGTGGGAGGGATCACGAAAAATCGGTCCCATTTGGCTGCACTGAAGAGAGTATTCAAGATTGTTTTAGAGATAGGGGTGGTAGAAGGGCGAGGGCGTGACGAAGATGGAGTAGTGTTGATGGAGGTAGTGTTATGGAGATGTGGGCTATAAGGCTGTAAGGTATTAATAAGGGAGGATGGGGTGGTTGATGTTGGAGGTTGTGGGGGCAGAGGTGTTGAAGTTGGGCATGCTGGGAGAGTGGAAATGTTCCTTGAGGGTTGATTGTTGGCTACTGTACTAGTAGGCATTGGTGAAGGGGCAGTTATTGCAGTGTTTGGAGCCGTGGTCAAAGGAGAGCCTGGGGTCAGGGAATCAGGTGGGTTTACTTCTTTGGGGCTATTTGATAAAGGGGCAAGCCTCATTGCCCCTAACAGTGGGGATATATTTTCATTACTGGCCATGGTAAGCCTGGTTATGTTGGGGATAAAAACAGTCCACCCCTCAGGGTCCCCTTGAGGGGTAAGGGCTAGATAACTAAATCAGGGGAATACCGTGCCCATGGCTCCCTCAGGCCATTCAGGACTGGCACAAAGTTAGCCTTTCATCCTTTCAGCACGGCTCTCACACCTTAGGAGGTGGATAGCAGAAGGGTTTGGTGAAGGGACAGAAACAAAAGTGGGAAGGGAAAAA